CGGGGAGGCCGGGAGCCGGCGCCGTGCACCTGCCTCGGCCGCCGCCTCCCTCCGCCGGCCCGAGGCAGCGGCAGGCGCTCACCTGCCCGAGGGCTTTCCTTGTGTGGCGCCTGGGGGTGTCTCCCTCCCCCCCCCCCGCCTTGGTTTTACGTTCTTTCGGGAGGCAGGGGTGGGAAGCGGCAGAGCTGCTCCCCCGGCCGCGTTTTGACAGCGTCCGCCTTGGAGGCGTCGGGGCAGCTGCCGTGCGCGTTGCTGGTGCACCGCGGACAGGTCTCAGCGGACGACGGCCGTCTCGCCTGGGGCGCGCGATGGGCCCAGGCGAGGGACGGAGGCGGGCCGGGCCCTGTCAGACACGGCGCGTCCCACCCAGGGCCTCCCTTGTGAGGACGCGGCGTTCCCCAGGGCGAGAGGGCACCTAACAGGTGTACGGTGTTGGGAAGCGATGGGAACAAAATGCACGGCTTTCCTCAGGAAGCGTCAAGAGACGGGTGGATATTCAGTCCTGAAATAGCCAAGAAACTTGGGGTGCCAGGTGCTTGTGACCATGAAGGGGGGACAGGGCTTGTGACCCAGCCGGTCTCTTCCACTCTTCTGATCCTGTGAAGCCAATGGTGAATTATGTCCGGCAGAGGTAAAGGACTTTTTTGTTCTGTTTCCTTGGTTTTGCAGGTGGTTATTTTTTATTCAGCATCACATGTTGCCATTCGCTTAAAATGGTTGGAGACAGTGATAAAAGCAACAGAATCGTCAAAATCCCCAGGCGAAGCTTGTACATCTGTAAATCCCTGACCAACTTTTTTCCCCCATATCCAAGTGTTAAAGAAAAGTCAACTGCCAAATTATGCAAAGAACTGACAGAAAACGTGTAATTATTATTGCCATAAACTTACGTAAACCCCTTTATCATCTTGGAAAGAATTATAGTACCAGCAGAGCACATTTCTGTGAAGCATGAGGAAAAATAAGGAGAGTGCAGGCATTAACGATCACTCTGTTTGCATGGGATCCCCAGCTGGTGGTCCACAAAGTGAAACTGCTAGCTGTGGGAGGGAACCCCGACCTGCAGGCTCAACATCCCAGTCGGCAACTGGAATCAGGTCCTCTTAACTCAGAAAACTCTTGTTGAACTTGGTGGGAGTCCTGCTTGGGAGTGCTTGGCCGTGTGCTTTGGGTAAGGCCCCACAATGCTGTGTCTCTTTGAGCTGCAGTTTTATCACCGGCTTGACATTCCAGGATGTTTTTTTTAATATCTTCAGGATTTCTGGTAATAATGTTTTATAAATGATGCTTTCTTTCCTCATGGGCACTTGAAATGCCTTTTAAAATGATGTTCCTTGGAAAAGTAAATTTGGAGAGGTTTTTTATGAGGTGTTTGCTATCATTAGAATAACCCTGAATTTGCCTTTTCTTGACAGGCTTTTAACATAATGAGGGAAACATCTGGGCAAGTGGGAACTCTGGGTGATGCCGTTTCCCCGAGGAGCTCTTTTTAGAGCACTATTGTAAGGTTAGGGTGAAACAAGAGGAAAATCATCTTAAGATAATTATCCTAGAGTATTATCATTGTAGTTGGCTGTCTCGTGAAAATCTGTTGATTGTTGACTTTAAGAATTTTTTTTGTCTGATGATTATTTTACAGATAACTTAATAAAACTCTGTGTCTTTGAGCATCATGATAGCTTTAGCAGCTCATACTTTCATCATGTTTTGCCATATGTAGAATTGAAATTTTTATATACTTCCCAACTGAATTGATTCTGCAGTTATGTGTTGAGGTTATGTACAAGACATTATGGGAGAAAAGATTAGAGTATTAAGTTAAAAAGATGGAAGTCTATCAATTTTTTGGTTTTATAGCTTTCATGGATTCTATTGCTAGTTGGAAAATACTGTAACCTGCTTTTGAAAATTGTACTCTTGACAGGCAGATGCTTCCATTCAGAGCATCACAGTACAGATCTCTATGGCGAGTTTGCACTGGGATCTTCAGATTTGGGGGCTTTTGGGGCCATTATCGTGGTGTATACTGAAGTGAAATGCAAAATCCTAGTGCACTCCATTCCCAGGTAAAGAATGAATGTGGAAAGCAAAACTGCACAAACCCAGATTTGTTGGTATAAGCAAATAGAAATATCTCAGGTTGCTATTGCTTATACTAAAAAAAAAACCTATTGTTTTTTCTGTCTTGGTAGGTCTATGGAGAGAAAAGATTGTGAGAAGTGATTAGGTCAGTGTTTCATTTGATGAAATTTCATTTGACGAAGTCTGTTGCGCACATTGTGGCAAATCCAGGAAAAAGTAATCTTTGCAGCAACTGTTTATAGATGTATTTTGACAAGGCAAATTTGTATAAAAACAAACTGGCTATTATCAAATGCAGGGTATGGTATTTTAGGACTTAGGCGGTCTGTTTGTACAAATAAAGTGGTCAGAATTTGGTCCTGTGTGTCTGAAAAAAAATCTGAAGTATTAGCCTTAGCTCCAAAAAAAAACCAAACCCAAACAAACCCCAAAAACTTAGCACATCCTTGATCCTTCTTACATAAAACGGATTCAGGAGGAATCCTTAGTAATCTTAAAATATTGTTGGAGATTTAAAAAGTCTAAAATAGGGACTTGTATGCATTTGAAGTCTGATTCATTAAGGGAGGAAGAGCTTCTCTTTCTCCCATCCCTTGGTCCTTCAAATGAAGGAGGGTTTTTGGAGGATAGGTTTTGATTTCTTTTGGTCTTTCAATTGTGTTAACCCCTGCAATTAATTAGACTGATTGATAGATGAAAGAAATCCAGAAAAAACTTCAGTCAAAAAATTAAACAAGTTATTTCTTCATCCCTCTTATTTCTACTTTCGGTGCCCTTCCCTGTACTGTTTGTGTCTCTAGAGTTCCCAGATGTCTGGGGTTGTGCCGTGCCACTGTGACTGGCTGTAATAGAGCAGCAGCGAGGAGAAAATCCTTGACGTACTCTGCTGGTCCTCTTCAGGATGCATAAGATACAGGCATGGGCTTCCTCGGTTCACTGCTGCAGAAATAGGCACTGGACCTCTGCATTGCTGAAGTTTCATGCTGCCGTTAGAATTGGTTTGTGGTAGTGTAAACTAACACGAAATGGGAAATCCAGAATGGAGTTGTAAAATATCTTGCAGCTTTGAGCTATGAGAGGGAATCAGCCTTTTGTTTCTCAGTCAGATTTTATTCCTTCCTTCAATCTCTACCAAAGGAGAATTGGGGAGGGGGGAGCTTTTTGTTTTTTCTGGTAAGAACTCTATTAGGTATAATTTAATTAGCATCCAGAAACTATTGTGGAGTATATTTATGAAATAAATAAGTACAAACTTTTGCTTCAGAATAAGAGCAAATGAAGCTATATTAAGGGATAGAAAAATGCTGCTTGGGTATGTTTTTATCTTTTTACATAGTTCTAAAATGAAGGGAAGGCTTGAACATAAATTTTGAAAGATGTTTGTAATACTTTACGATGCTCTAGAATCTGTGCTTTCATTCTGGGAGAAAATATTTCATCGAGAAGTTTATTCCCATCACTTCTAATTTTTCCATAGTAGGCCTTGCACACCAAGAAAAACAGTGTTCCCACACCAAGAAAAATGACCTTGTAAAATGTAGTAACAGAGCCACCAACAATATATGCCATAGCACATGAAGTCAGATTCTCCACTGCGGTACTTGCAGCAGTATTACATTAGCATGAAACCCAGTAGTTGTGCATAATGCTGGAGCCATATAAGAGAATGTAATTTGAAAAGAAGCACAATGCTGTAAACAGCTTTTTACTTTTTAATCTCCTTGCTCCTGTCTTTGCCCCCCTCCTCAATAAGCATGCAAGCAATTACAGCGTGTCAGAAATGTTCTCTGAGCTCTACCAGAAGAAACACATTCTGTTGCCTAGAAATGGTTGCACAAGAGTCGCTCTCCAAGCTGTGTGAGGAGTCCTTTACAGGGCTGAGCTCTTAATTTTCTCCTAAGGTCCACAGCTCAACACGATGAGAAGTTCAGAAATGGTGTGCTGTCTGGTACCTTTTCTGGGGTGCATTTCAGTCTTTTTAAGGTTTGTGTGTTCCTGCTGCCCCTTGTACTGGATTCAGGCAAATTGCAAAATCATCTCCAGTCAGATAACAGCGGAGGTATTTCAGCTTTCTGGCTTTCTCAGTTTAAGTAGGACTCAAGCTGTTTACTTTGAGAGAGTTTTAGACTGAGTTTTTTAAAGCTTATTTGAGCTCTGGAGCTTTACATTTGGTTAGTTCTAAGAGGATCTGATCATCTAAATCATCTTTGAAAAACTGTCGATTCAACATTTTGTATTCATGTTTTCCAGACTGTCCTTAGCCTATGTAAGATGCCAATAAGTGGATGTACATCATATATTCAATACGAGCACTTAATCCTTCTCTGCCTTAAGAGCAGTTTATACATTACACAAATAACTTTCAGAGCAGGTGGCTTGTGAATGAAGCAGGCTGATTCTCTGAAAACCAAAATCTCTTTTGGTGAGGTTGTTGCTCATCACAGGGAATGCTGTTTCGTGCTTTTTGACAGTGATAGTAAAACCTGCCTGTTCTCAGCAGGCTTTGCTGTGTAGGTTCTTAGCTAAAGCTCACCCTTACCATTAGCATATGTTCTTCCAGTTATGCACTAAGCTTTACAAATGACTTAGACCATGTGCAGTTCATTCTCTCATCTCCCAAGGGAGAGAATTATATGTGCTCTTTAGTGGTTTTGCTAGTGGGCTGTGGCTTGTTCCAGGATCTAGGGGGAAGGAAGGGCGATTAGCTTTACGTGTGCTGCCACTGCATGCATGGAAGCAAAGGATAAAACGGGAAACAACGGTGAAGGATTGAGACTGCTGCTCTGAGCAGAAGACCATTTGCTGTTGTCTGTTGCTCCCAGGAGAGATTCTTCCACCTTCCAAACCTGGCTCCAGGAAAACTCCAGAAAGTATTAATTAAGCTTCTCTTCCTACTTGTCACTTCGATTCATTTCCTAGCAAACTAATGCATCCCTGGTGGAAAAGAGCTACCACACCTTCAGGGTAGAATGTGGCAAGTTTTTTAGTATCTAAGACTGCTGCAATAATTTAGAACAGGGATCCAGGAATATTGTATTTGGTTATGGCTGCAAGGAAGTATGTTAGGCAGGTACAAATGTTATTTCCTGCATTAGATTTGACCAAAATGTTTGGATGAGGCATAATTTGCTGGACTTGTCTTCAGCTGAACAGCTAACAATTACTGTACTGCTCAACTTGGATCATCACTGATAAATACCTGGCATTAAATCACAGGGTGCTTCTCAATTTTGTCACTGTAACTATAGCTTGGAGCGGTTTTTTTCCTAGTGCTTTATACAGAAGAGTCCATTGGAGTTCTTTGTTTCTGTTTTGAGCAAGATTTAGGATCATTTTCCAGCTCTTTAGAGTATTTGGGTAATTGTATGAAGAAAGCAGAGTGTATGTAGTTCTAAATTCATTCTGGGCCATCATGGTGTCGTCATGTCCATTTCCACGGCCTGGAGCCAGATGCAAACCACAGTGACTACTGCAGGGCAGGGGTCCCAGAGACATTCCTGCTTTTGCCTTTCTCTTCTCTCAGTCCATCCTTACCTGTGCTCTGGGTCTGTGTGTGGGGCAGAGCGGTCAAAGGGAAGCCTGCTAGCACGGGGTTCTGCACCCTACGGTGGTTGGACGGCTGACTCATAGTAGTGAAAGGAGTGGTAGGTTTGAGTCTGATTCCTGAGAAAGTCTAGAGCTGTAATGATCACCTTTGGTAACATTGAGAGTAGAGAGACAAGGCATGGGTACATAGAGATCCTGGAAGGAGCTGGGTTGGTACTTTTCATGTTGGTTCACCTAACTTGGACAATCAGCAGTAGTTCTGGAGTAGCTTTTATTTTGTAGTCTTTGTTGATCCTGTAGAGAAGTTTGTTCTATGCAGGAAGAACACAGCTGGTCCATCGCAGCTATAACAGCAGTATAACAGTGGTACAACCACACTGCTACTGGCCCCTCGCTGTTATCTGATCAGCACAAAAATCTCTCCTCCGCTCCTCTGGCTTCAGTTGTCATCCCTTAGGTTCTGTCACATTTCCCTGCTCTGTCCTTTCTTAATGCCAGCTGTCCACAAAAACAGGAGGCCTAGAGTTGAAGCTCTGCTGTTGATCTTTATGACCCCAACAATTTCATCATCACTTTACTGTCTGGAGCTGGTCACTGTGTATTCCCTCATGATTTTTAACATACATGTTATGACCTGCTAATAGGTAACCGAGCCCTAGTACTTAAAGCTTCAGCATACTAAGCTTTTCGACACCTTGCTCTGCTGTGGAATTCTTTTGCTGGAGAGACATCTGTTTAACCAATCCAGGTTACATTAAATGTAAATTGGGAACCATGTTTTGAATTCAACAGTTATTCTTTTGTCTCTGCTCGTATCTACTGCATCTGTATATTAATAATCAATGCCTTATTGTTCCAAAATGGAAATGGTGGAAAACGTCTTCAAAGAAAACAAGGAACAATGAAAGCATTATTGATTAGATGACAACTCCAGCTGTGTTGTGTTGCAGCATCTGAAAACTTTACAGAAAGTGAAGTGCAGAAGACAGTAGTATTTATAAAGGTGCAGACTATGCTATCTTAGCCTGCTGACCTAATACATACATATACTAGTCATGTTTGAAAAGCTTTCTGAAATAATATGTGACAGAGATAGACATGACTTCTGAAAAGCCAGTCATCAGTATGTATTCCAGTGGGGAGGAAAGATTAGTTTGAAAGTTGCTTCGTTTTTTAAGATGCACAGATTTGTAGATATTCATGCTTAAGAATTTCCCTTTTTTTTTTCCCTTCACTGTGTAAAAGTGCACAGCATGCAAGTAATGGTAGGAAGTTATTTTGTGGTACTTTTTTATGCTTACATTCTTCTGAGTCATCATTTTAAAATCTTGAAATGCACTCATACTTCAAATATATGCGGACAATTTAGGTGTTTCCTTACACAAACATAAACTAAAAAATTGAAGCAATGTAGTTTTTCTTTGTGCTTATGTCCTGAAAGTATAGCGATAGACAAGATTTAGCAGCTTTGGCAGGTTTAACTGTCGGCGTTGGCTGCTTTATGCTCTTCTGTGTGTTTTGCCTGTCTTCCTTGCAAAGAAATGTGGTAGTACCTAGTTGTGCCTCATTTATTCTGTTCACAGTGTTGTTTAGTGTTTGCTTGGCCTTTTTGCCATGATTGTTATCTTGCTGTCTACTTTAAGACTACACTACTTAAAAGCTCTTTGAATTGCCTGAATAATGTTCTCCATAAAAGATTACTTTTTTAAAGCATTATTTTTCAATGGTAGCAGAGCTAGGTCACTGATGCATTTTATTTTTTATTTTTTAAATCTCAACCCAAGCTCTTTGAGGTTGAGATTCCATTGTTGTGGTGTTGCTTGTGTACAATGTGTAGCCTAATAGGTCTCCAGGCTTGAATGGAGTCTGTAATCACTGTCAGGAATGAATAAAGTGATAACTTAGAGCAGAAAAATACAAAGTGCTTTAGTAAGTTGCAAAAGGAAGCATTAAATGATGCAGTGGTTACTGTTGCACTTTAATACATTGTGCCTCCAGGATACCAGTTTTACAGGTTTTGAAGACAGAAAATGACAGGCTAAATTCATAGTCCGAAGCATAGTGAGCTCATTGATACATCGGTAAGAGCAGAATGTTTCCAGTGCCGCTATGTCCATGTACTTTTGATTTGAAATACCAGAAAAAGAAAGAAAACAAAGTAAAATGTAACTTATTATTGTAATAAGTGATGGCTTGCCACAGTGGTCAGTTGTGTGGCAGTATAATACTTAGTCAGAGGAGCTGGTGTGGGCAGTACTGGTAAGCAGTTCCTTTATCCTCTTGCCCTTGTTTTTCAGTGCTTGGAGAACTCGTAGCAGTGGGTCATATTTTTTTATTCCTCCCTTTTAGCAGTCAGCAGGATGAAACCAGGCCTGGAGTTGTTCACCTCTAAGCCCTTGTAGCATAATGGCTATTTGAGTGCTTTTAATGTTATGGAGGTGCTCATAAAGATGAGAGAGGAAAATCAGAGATGAAATCTTTATCTCACCACTCCTTGTGGAGTCAGTCCATGTTGAAAAGTGGAAATTCAAACATACCTTGGCTTTTACGCCTCCATGCTAGACCTACATTCTCAGTGTGTTTAAATTGACCTTGCTCCACTGACTCTCACAAAGCAAGACGAGTCAATGACTTCTGTCAGCTGCAGACCCAGCTGAAGTTCCTCTTGGATTTGAATCTTTCACAGCTCAGTTTGTCTGTGGAACTGATATGCACATAACACACATAATCTGCACCTCTATCCATGGAGAAAAGCTGAGCTTTGGCGTGTGGCTTTCTTCAGATTGCATGAATTTATTTCCATCCATTATGTTTCATTGTTAGTTTCATATGCACTGCTGAAAAATCCTGGACTGTTTTGTTCCACAGTAGCTATTTTTCCTCGGGAAGATTAAAATTTCCTCTTTGTCTGCATGGCTGTTGAGATCAGTACCTGTGACAATACCATTAGGAGTACAGTGAAGTATCTATAAAAACCACCCAAATAACATGCCCCATCTTTTTCTGCCACTGTTTACAGGACTGCTCTAAAAAAAGTGGATTCCTCCCTTTCTAAAGAACAGTTACTGAGTCAATGTTGTCCATGGGCCAGGTTTAATTTCCAGAAAGCTTCCTTCAGGTGTCTTGCCTTTGCATTCCCATTGAGTTGGGCATTCAGGTATTGAACAATTGAACACTGTCATTGAAATGCTTTTTCTTGTATGTGCCCAGGAAGGCCCAATAAGAGGTGAGGTCCTTGCACCAGAAGAACTGTGCTGTAGGCTGTGATGGAAGGAGGAGGTGACTGACAATAAAGCATAATGTGACAAAGAGCAATGAATAGGACCTAGCGATAAGGCGGCTATTTTTTGAAGCTAAGTGCCTCAAAAATTAGTCACATAGCTTTGGTATCTTTCTCGCCTTAGAAGTAACTCAGCAGCAGCAGATTTTGCCTGAGGAAACCATAATTACTCCACTGGAACCAGCTGCCAAAGATTACTATATGTGTAACAAAACATAAATTTGCTTGATTTTATCTGCCACATACATCAGTGCAGGATTTTAAAATCAATATGGTCTTGATCTAGATATAACTTTAGTAATCAGATATTTACTAATGTCTGTGTGCACAAGTTACCCAAAGAAATAAAAAGGATTAATAGTTTAAATAGTTTAAAACAAAAACTTCTCACAATATTGACATACAATTTATTAAAAAATGAAAACCATAGCTAACTAGGATGAATTCTGTAACACCCCAATATACTCACCTCCTACATTGTATGAGTTGCTTATACACTGTTTAATTTCATAGCAAGAGATCATTTAGCATATCTTTAGCAACACAACAGCAATAAAACTGTCCTTGTCTTTAATGTCTACGGATACAACTCTCATCTGAAAGTGTCTCTTGAAATTACCTCAGTAATCAGACTGGAGTTGTTTAAGATGCAGTGAATATATTGGCATTTTGTGCTGCTGATTTTAAGATTCGCTGGACTGAAGAAGTCTGTAAAGGTTCACTGCACAGAGCACACTATAACAAAGCAGTTAATGATTCTTGTGACATGAATGCTGCCATTTCAGTTTATTTGAATGACACTGGCATTCTGTCTTAAATATATCACTTTTTATTAGTTAGGGTTTTTTTGAAACCAACTAGATATTAGGCATGGGTATGCATCTTAGCTAAACTATAACCTAGCCAGCCCAGGCCTTTTGCCCTGCAGAGTGCCCGGAGTTTTTCAAAACACGTAACCACAGTGATATTTTTATAAAGGAATGTTCACCTCATGGGATTTTTTTAAGGTGTTCTATTTTTTTTTTCCAAGTTACAGCTTCACTTTATTGTACATGATGTCCAATAAAAAAGATATATGTCTGTGATTGGACTTTGAAAAAGGGCCATGGTGCCTATTCCATTTAAAGGGAATGAAGTCAAGCAGTAAATTTGCTGGTCGCCCTTTTCATATTGACTGTATCTCAGCCAGCAGTTGGTCTTTGATGTTGTAACAATAGAGCAAAGGCAGAGGAGGAGGAGGATTAGGACCTCCATAATATAAAAACAAGTCTGCATTCATCATGATTTTTATAGAGCACAGTCCCTGTCTATTGGAGATTTGCAGTATAGACTCAATGGTCTGTAGAAGAGTGCAGCAATCTTAACATTTGCAGGTGGTTTGCAACTCACCCATCATTACTACTACCATCTCTTCGTAATTCAGAGTTTGTTTAGGCATTCAGCATTTAGCTTTTTCTATCTTCTTATTCCTTCCTACAATAGGAAAACAGATGTATGTCTATCATTTTCCTTTACAGGGGTTGATTGTTGCGTTATTTATGAAAGGCTTGCTGCAGCTAGCCCATAGAGTATCTATTCCTCATCTTGTTCTTTAGAGTCCAAGCTTTTATTAGGGAAGAATAGAGGGGTTGATATGTGTATGTCTAACATTTGTGAAAATATATATAGAAAGGGAACCTAGAGCAGCCACATTATGCCTGTGTCTTCAGGCGTACTGGAACAATAGCACCAAAGGCTTCAAATGAACTATTTAATCTGATAGAGCCCTGGAACTTTTGATATGCATTTAAATGGTAGCAGCGCTAGCTCTTGATCAAAACATGCAGAAGGAAAAGGGTCGTCCATTTGATGAGAATGCATAAGGTACCAAGTTGCACTGAGTGCTGGTGGGAGTAGATAGAATTGTGAGCAGAGCTTGGAAAGAGCTGAATAATCTGTACTGTTGTAGCCATGTGTGTAACATAGCAGATGTGGAAGGCAGGATGAATGGAGCGTTCCCAGGGACGTGACGATGGCAGCAGCAGTGAGCCCAGTGCAAGTGGATCTGTATCAGAAGCCCAAAGGCGGCTCTTAGGAAACCATCTGGGGATGCACCAGGTGAAATTGCTTTACTGCACCCAATTCCAGTGGCTCTTGCTTAAGGCATGATCCTGAAGTGTCCTGACAAGGCAGAACACCTGGAAGCTTCTCTGCCAGACTCCAAAGACACCTGACCCAAGGAAGGGAAAGGGGGGGGAGGAAGATGCCAATCTGTAGTGCATTTGACAGTTCAGGACTTGATTTAGGGTTGGATCCTGTGCCTTCTAGGTGTTCAGATTAGACCTGTGAGTCCAAACTCATGAGTAAGTCACCGCTTGCCAGCTGAGCAGCGGTAGCTCCTCAGATGTCTTATCCCACCTTCATCCCACAACAAAATATGAGGTGATTTTATATTTATCAGTAAGTCAGTGCTGAGCAAACAAACCCTGCCCAGGGCTTCCACCAGGGTGACTGCATTCTGTCCTGGGACAAAGCACTCCACAGTATTGGTGGTCACCAAACACACAGCTCTTCAGTGAGGAATCTGTTCTTTTATTTAACATCTACCATGATGGCCATTAAAAAAGCAACATCTGGTGCAGAAAATGCACACATGCTATTTCTGCGCTCTGCTGTATGTCTCCTTCATCAGGCCCAGATACAGCGTCTTAGCTGTCTCTGCTTTCCCTAGTATGCCAGCTGATGAAAGCAAACTACGTGAGGCTTAGCTAGTATAAGGTGGGAGTTCTGGCTAGTTAGAGGCATCACCTAGTGTTTAAAAGAGTTAGCCCTTGAGGGATCAATAGCTCTGAAAAAGCTGCTGAAATCCTTCAGTGGCAGTGAATTTGATTCTTGCTCTTCTTTGATCTAGCGTTCACGGCTTTTTTAATAATGTAAATCAGACCTGCCTTTCTCACCTACCCAGCCCTCTTTCTTCTTTTCCTGTCTCCTAAGAGGATCATTTTTTCGTGTTCTTAGCAACATAGCTATGGCAGTCTTAACATGAAAATAAAATGAACTAATTATTTGCATAACACCAGAGTAAGGGCCAGATTAATACCACCTCTCTAATTTTTTTTTCTTTATCCTATTTAAGTCTTCCCACAATAAAATATAAGTGGAGTTTACAGCTGAAATTGTGTGTTTGCACACATATGGTCTAAGTGGGGGAAAAGAGCTGTATATTCCAATTCCCCAATACACACTGCTGCCATTGATAAAAGGGGCACAATTACATTGGAATCAGGTTAGAAACCCCATAATTTCCCCATGACAATTATTGCAGTTTACTTATAAGAGCCAGATGAGGAGAAAAGATGTATATTTAGCTCTTAGCACAGTTAAGTAGCTGGAAGTGAGTTCTGTGCCACAGCCTACAAGGAAATGGTCTTCCAACCTGCTCTGCAGTGTGTCTACTGTATATGCTTTGGAATCTGCCTTTGTACAGAAACAACTCTCCCTCCCTGGGATCTGGCATATCAGCTAGGGTCCCATTTCAGTTCCTCTAACAGAGGAGGTTAGAATACCTAAAACCTGAACTGCTTATCTTTCCTCTTCTACCTTGTTGCTGCATCTGGCTGCTGGGACTAATCTAAAGATGCATTTGGCCCACTCCATACAGTTTATTGTCAGTGGCATCTGGGTGGCTTCAGGCACATGCTAAGATTATAACAAGTTTGAAAAATAAAACCATTTATCCTAAATATAGCTCAGAACTAACTAGTGATCATGGGGCGGAGGGGAGACAAAAATGAAGATATTTTCTTTTCACATAAGTGTCAGATTCAAAAGCATCTGCCTTGTTCAGTGCATGTATGGTATTCATTTCCTGTCTGCAGTCGATTGGAATGCCCCCCCGAGTCGTTTGAAATTGAAAATTGAGTCATGCTTCTTTAATCAGCTCTAGGAAATACCCCCCTCCCTTACTGTTCTAAGAAAATTTATATATACATGCATAGAATTCATAATACAAAAAGCCCACACTTCTCTCCAGGGCAAATCCTTGCCCTCTCCCCTCTTAAACAGAGAAGGGTCTTCACGTCTTCTTGTCACAGTGTACTGCAAGTATCTACTTGCTTGCTCTTCTTCCCCGTAATGTCACTGGAGGGAGGCCTTTCTCTTGTGTATCTGCTTCCTCTTGTTTCTTTCCCTTGTTCTGTCATTAGGGCAGTTCACGGACATGTAGAGAGAGGGCATAATGTCCACTGCTGATGTCTTGATACAAAAATAAGACAGTTACTGCACTGCATGTACAGATGCCATTTATACTAATGACTTCCAGTTGCTCGTGTGTCAGTCCCCAAAGTTTTCTAAATGGAGAGGGTAAAACTGTACACTCGGGCTTGAAAGAATACTTCGCTGCAGGAGCAGAGGTGCATGGTCTTGAGGCAGCCGCTCAGATTTCTGCTGCTGTTTTGCTGTAAACTCCTGGGTGTAGTAAGAACCCCTTCCAGAGAGTGTTTGTGAGGCATATAGTTGGTGCATAGATATTGAATGTAAACGAACACTGCCTTTCCTCTGCCTTCACCCTCTAACTTCCATCCGAAGAAAAACGAGTGTTAGTGGGGAAGGCAGCTAAGGGAGGGTGAAGTAAATTATCTCGCAGTGATTCGATGGTGTGCGTGTTTTGAGCATCAAGACTCAAGTGATTTGCCTTTTTTCAGGCACAGAAGTAGTATTGCCAGAAGCACAGGAAACATCATGTTTTTGGAATATAACACTTGTCTGCTTTCTTGCTTTCCCGTTATTAGCTTTTGCTTATGTGATGAAGTCATCATGTAACTTTTAGTCCACAGGGACTAAACACTTTCTAGTCTCTAAAAACATCTGCCAGTTAACACAGCCAGAGTCATAGACACTTTTGAAAGCATAGGGTGGATATTCAGTGGCATATGAGAGGGAGACACAGAGGCTGGGAATAGCTGTTTCTTGGAAACTAACAGCTGAAGGCAACTTTGGAAATTGAAAAGGTTTCAAGTAAGGTTACTCTTTTGGCTAGGGAGAGATGAAAACTTCGTTTATTAAAGCTAGTTCACCTAGTGAAATCCTAGCCATAGTGATTTAGTGGAATAAACTTGCAAAAGGACCTAGTTTAGAACCCATGAAAATAATTTCAGATGTATGTTTGTTCTCTTTCATTTACACTGACTTTGTGTGTGCTAGCCTGCAAAGCCTGACCAAACAGTTGTGTACGAAAAGTATTAATATTCTGGATTTCCTTTGCTTTTGGGGTTTTGATTGCAGCTTAAGGCAGATTTTCCCATTCTGTTTGAACCTGATGTGTAAATTATGATGCAGATTTCAAATGATGGGTGAGATTAGATTTGTTCAATTAAATTTAGCCATGGTATAAATGGATTCTATTTAAAGCTTTATTATACTAGTGATTTTATGCAAGTATTTAATAAAGCCTAAAAATAATTGGAACTTTCAAAGAGTTTCCATTTTGGCACCACAGGTTATTGGAGTGAAATAGTTGGGCTACTCTTCAGTTGTACATTTGCCTGTTGAACCACTAAATCAATGTGTCCTGTATGGAGAGCTCCAGCCAGGCAGTGATTACAGGGAAGATCTTCAGAGTTGTGAAGAACAACTAAATGTTTACCACCAGCTTAGGCAACTGAAAATATCTGTTAACTACAAGCAAAACTTGGCACTGAACATCTGTCAAAGCCCTACACAATTTTAATTCTGTGCGCTCGGCCATCCCATGGATGGCTGAGTATCTGCTGAAGAACAAAGCACCAGTGTGTGCTATGTCAGAAAATTTACTAAAGGGCCTCTGTTTTTTCCAGCAGACATTGAGCTGTAATCACCACCAAATCCTTTTTATTATCAAAGTGTTTATACAAACTGGCAGTTCTTCACCTCAAAGCTGACCCATACTGTTTGTATTTTCCAGATGAAGGAAAACATGAAATACAAGCAAACAACAGAGCATAAAAAAATAGCTGTGCTGTGAAATGTGTGTCCACATGTAGCAAAAGGTTGCCAGATCTGCGTATAATATGCTTGGTTTTCTCCTTAAGCTCTGAGGAAAAAATATTGTCTGCCAGAGCAGTTCAGATGCAGACCCACTGTTTACTAATGGTGTGGAAGAGACAGGGAGCTTGGTGAGAGAAATTCCCAACCAGAGACTGAACAAAAAATGGACCAAAGCTTGATGACTGCAAGTGAATAAACAGGCTCAGTAGGGGAGGAATGACAGTAGGGCTGCTCTGGCACTCAGGACATATCAGTTCAGATGGTTCAACAAGGCAACAGCCTTTTCCTCCACTGCAGAGGGTCCTAACATAGTGTTGGCCATGTGTCTCGAAAGAGGGGTCTGGGACTTACTAGACCTTAGCTGTGAAGGGGGCCTCAACACTGCCACCCTAGGATCTCTGCAGTCGTAACATAAGTCCCAGCTACGTGTTCAGTTCTCAAGGTTTTCTGTGTAGCTGTGAGGGCTAGAAGTTTTTAGTGTAAAATACCTAAAATTCAAAAGCTGTCATTCTGAGATGAGTGTGCCCAGATGCTTTCAGATTCTGCTTCTGCTGTACACAGCTCCTGAGAGCTATTTCAGCATATGGCAGAAAATCAGCTGTGGTGGGCTGGGTATATATATATACTTGGGCATCCCAAGCACCTCACTGCCTAACTCTGCTGCCACTGGTACCCAACATTTAAGCTGTCTATAAAAGACCTCTGCTCCAACAGTGACTGCAGATCGACATGTCTACTGTAATTTCTGCTGTCCTAATTGCAATAGTACTTGCGACTCCAGCCTATTCTCCGCAAAACCAAAGCTGCTGCAAGAGCCATAGAGCCCCTGAAACTAATGTGTCCCATAGCAGTACCCTGTGGGATGACTGACTTTGGTCTTTGCATAGCCACTTGGTCACACATGCAGATGTACTGCAAGTTAGAAAGAACTGGATACAATGTCATTTTACTAATTTTGCTGGACTAAATAGAGAATTATTAAAAAATAGACCCTGATAAACAGAACTCTTTTGGGGGGGTTGTTGGGTTTCTTTTTTTTTAATTACCAACTGTAATCAGTGATTCACCTTCTATTTACACAATGTTTAAAGCAGACGCTATATTTTGGAGCCCCTTAGTGAAAGCTTTTGTGTACATGCAAGCCAATGTAGTCCATTTTAAATGATTTATGAACAGTGATTATCTAGAATGTGCTATTAATCACTGCAACAATTAATTTGTGCAGCTTTCTAAAGATAAGTAAGGCCTTTTACTTCATTGATATATGCAAATGTGAGGGACAAGCACATTTTAACAAAAAATGAGAGTGTCTCAGTAGCTGAGTGCTTCATGTGACACCCCTCTGGTCTGACTTCTTCTGGAGATACAAACCATCAGTGACTCCTTGGAGTGAACCGGCGCTGTGAGGCTCAGTACCACTGCATGCTTTCAGGTAGTCACACGGAAATTAAATATGAACCCATGTGATTTGCCTCTTAAATGAGAAAGAGCTAAGAACAGAACAGAAGTCTTCTGACTGCCTGGACTG